GGAGAGAGAAAGGGGAGAGGAGAGAGAAAGGAGAGAGAAGAGAGAGGGAGAAGGAGAGAAGAAACTCCTTAAATTGTAATTGTAATTTGTATTCCAATTTTATATGCAGTGGTTCATGGAGGGGGGGGGGAGGAAGGAGAGAGAAACTCCTTAGGTTGTAATTTGTATTCCAGTTTTATATGCAGTGGTTCATGTTATTCCCTCTTGTAAGAAAGGCAAGAATAGAAGTATACCTCAGAACATTTTTTTAGTAGTTTTTTGAAAGAGGACTGCAATAATAATAGAGTTTCTCTGATCTTAGGAAATGTTAAGGTACTTTAAACACTTAATTACCATATGTAAAAAGCAGAATGTGGCTTAACATCTTATATCCTCTTTAGTGAGATCTTAAAGTGAATCAACAAGATAAATTTTTGAAGGCTTAGACTAACTACCAAGGAAATTAACTTGTGTTTCATTTTAAATAAGCTTTAATTATATTGATGTAGCTCTTCATCTAAAACTGTATAATATAGTAGCATTTATTCTACAAAAATAGTATTGGTAGGACTGCAGTGAGTATTACAAAGACAATTTGTATTCTTAGGTAATTCTTGCAAGTCCATACATAAATTCTTGCAAGCCCATACATATTTTGTATTGTGTTATGAACATTTTCAACCTAAATTTTACTTTATAAAATCCTTGTAGAATATACATTTTATAATTGTCAGTTATTTGATTTATGCCTATTTTTAATTATAAAAGTGCTACAAAACACATACTCATTTTTAAAAATTTAAACAGTAGCATTTAAATTTAAGCAATTCTACTTTGCTTAAATTTAAGCAAAATTCTGCTTTGAATTTCTTTTCCTTATCCCTCTTCAAAGCTTCCTGGAGATAACTATTTGGAGAGTACCTGGTGGGGAATAAACCCCCCCACACACACCTTTTATGGTTTTACTCCCCCTTCTGTTTTTCTTTGCTTGCTTGCTTACATTAATAGTGTCATGCTGATGAATTGTTATTGACTTGCCTTTTTTTAAAAAAACTAAATATGTCTTTGACTATTACCTGTCAAATTTTTTAAAGATGTATGATTATTTTTTTAGTTGTAGTTGCACACAATAACTTTATTTATATGTGGTGCTGAGGATAGAACCCAGAGCCTCGCACATGCTAGGCGAGCACTCTACCACTGAGCCACAGCCCAAGCCCCTGTCAATGTTATATAGAGATGATATTCTTTTAAAGTACCATCTGGTGTGGATATTTATCAATTTTCCTGATTTTTAAATTGAATTTTATTTTTCCCCTTAATTTTTCATATTTCAAACAGTATTGAAATGAACATTCTGTACCATAAAGAGTCCATCCTCTTTAATTTTTTTAATGAAACTAATCCATTTGGATATATTGCTATAAGTGAAATTGTTGGGTAATAGGGAATATGCATTAAAAATTTAATGGCACTACCAAATTCCTTTAGTTCTTTATTTTGTATTGTGTTAAAGCAAATCTCAGGTCTTTCTGGTCTTTGCATCCCTAAAAAAACTTTTTTTTTTTTTTTTTTTGTGGTGCTGGGGATTGAACCCAGGGCCTTGTGCATGTGAGACAAGCACTCTATCAGCTGAGCTATATCCCCAGCCCCCCCAATATTGTTATTTATAAAGTAGAAATTAATTTTAGTTTATTTTAAAGATGTTTATTTTCCCTCTTGTTAACAGTGGCATTCATTCTGCAGCATGTGTATCACTAGTACACCTGGGATTCAATTGAGTCCAAATTGTTAGCCTTTATTTTTAATTTCATATACAGGTTTTTTTTATTTATTTGTTTACAAGAATATTCTAAAATTATGCAGCAAATTTTCTCACAGGTACCATAATGGCTATCATAGATAAAATTGTTATCAGTACATCTCAGTGACTAAAATGGAATTTTACTTCATTGCAAAGAATAAATGCACTAATAGGCTAGTCTCTAACTTTTCTATGTACATGGTCACAAATCTGAAATTATTTTGACAAAATGCTTGGATTTGGCATTAAAAAATTTTTCAGTGACTTGACTACTGTGAATTTATTGCAGACCTTTGAATCAGCTGTGCAAGAGAATGTCAGCATTAATGGGCAAGCATGGCAGGAAGCTTCAGATAATTGTTTTATGGGTACGTGTCATAACTTTTTCTTCTGTCATTAATTTCTTTGTTTTTTGGTCGCTAATTTTATTTTGAATGTTTCTTTTAAATCCCAGTTTTCATTATCACTTGTTTTTAATTCTTTATGTGAATTATGAGGATAAAAATGGAAACTAATATAGAAGACTATTGAAGTCATAATCTGGAGGAAACACAGTAGTTACCTTGATCCATCATATATGCTCTCTAGTATTATAAACAGGATTTCATCTGATTAATCTTTAAAGTTTATTGGAAAATACTGTAGTATTATCCCCAGATGAAGAAACAGGCCCGTGTCAGCAGGCTGGTTTCTCCTGAAACTTCTGCCCTTGGCTCACAGATGACCACTTTCTCATTGTGTCCTTTCTCACTGTGTCCTTTTCACTGTGCATGCATGTCTGTGGTGCCGCTTTTCTTATTACACAAGTCATACTGGATTAGAACCTTTCCATATTACTTCATTTTAAGTGTCTATCTCTGAGGTTTTCTGAGAGTTAATACTTCATAAGAATTTTACAGGGTTATAGTTCAGACCAAAATGTTCTGTTAGAGGGCAGCTAACTTATCACAAAAGTCTGACTACTTTGCTGAAGGTAGTTGCTCTGGCAAATGAGAGATTATAAAAGGAGAGGAGAAGTTCTACCAGCCCCCCAGCCATTCTGGCCATCCCAGCTAAGGCAGCAGACCTGTGATTGAAACCATCATGGGTCCTTTGGTCCATCAAGCCACCAACCCATATTATATAGAACAAAGATGAGCTTTTTCTACCACCCTCTACCCATGAACAGAGAGCAGATAAGCAGCAGTTCTTTTTCTAATTTTCTTTTAATTTTTTTTATTGGTTGTTCAAAACATTACAAAGCTCTTGACATATCATATTTCATACATTAGATTCAAGTGGGTTATGAACTCCCATTTTTACCCCAAATACAGATTGCAGAAACATCGGTTACACATCCACATTTTTACATAATGCCCTTTTAGTAACTGTTGTATTCTGCTACCTTTCCTATCCTCTACTATCCCCCCTCCCCTCCCCTCCCATCTTCTCTCTCTACCCCATCTACTGTAATTCATTTCTCTCCTTGTTTATTTTCCCATTCCCCTCACAACCTCTTATGTGTAATTTTGAGGGTCTCCCTCCATTTCCATGCAATTTCCCTTTTCTCTCCCTTTCCCTCCCACCTCATGCCTCTGTTTAATGTTAATCTTTTCTTCCTGCTCTTCCTCCCTGCTCTGTTCTTAGTTGCTCTCATTATATCAAAGAAGACATTTGGTATTTGTTTTTTAGGGATTGGCTAGCTTCACTAAGCATAATCTGCTCTAGTGCCATCCATTTCCCTGCAAATTCCATGATATTGTCATTTTTAGTGCTGCATAATACTCCATGGTGTATAAATGCCAC